GTCTCAACCCAAACAGCTGTAACTTCTTTAAAGCCAGTTTGTCAAAAACTCAAAATTTCCAGAAAGGTTTCAGCAACTTTCAGCTAGCCCTTCCTTTGGAAGTTGTCTCAATTTTACTACTGTCATTTAAATGCTTTTGTGGGCATTTTTGTCTCTACAGCTGGAGTCTGCATTCCCCAAGGATAGCAAGCTGTCCATTTCCTCTGCACCTCTCACACACCATTCAGTTTAATGCTTCCTCTCTCCATACAGAACACAGATTGCCCTACTAACTTATTCCACAAATTTATTTTGTACTTCTAAAATGTATTTCTAGGTCGAATGCAGAAACAAAGCAATACTTCTTAAATAACTACAGTGAAAGCTTTTCCATTTCACAGTACATCAGCAGTCTTAATAGAAATGTGTGGTGTGTACTTATTATAGGCAAATCTTGCAGCATGCCAATGTACTTAATTCAATAACTGAAACAATCTAACTCCTAGATTCTCAGATTTATAGGCTTATTAGTAAGATTTATAGAGTACACTGCTGCCAAAGAACATAAGGCACTGTGTACGGAATTTCACAACTTTATAATGTTAAACGTTACAAATGTGAACAAGGAGGAGATAGAATAAAGAAGGAAACAAGGAGAAGAATGAAAAACAAGTATAAAAACCTGAAGACAGTCGTGATAATGGCAAGAATTAACCCCACGTCTTTTATAAGTGCTTTACTGATCCACATAATGTAAAAATAGAAGATTCAAACGCAATTTTATCTCTAGAGTTTCCACAGATAACTGGAGAGTACAGGCATTAGAGCCACAGTGTTTGGGTGCAAATTCCAATTTCTGGCTCCATTAATTAGCTAAGTCACTTACAACACATAATTTAACTTTTAAGGGATCTATACCATAGGATTGTGGTAAAGATCAAGTTACTGAATGTAAAATGCTTAGAGCAGTACCTTGCATATAATACTCAGTAAATGTTAATTATTTTATCAATGGTTAATTATTTTACCATTGTTATTCTATTTCTGATAATGTTGAATCTACGGCCAAATGTTAATCTTATTACACTTAATACTATGTTTTACATTATAGTAATAAATATTTTCTCAATCTCCTTTCTGATCTTAAAATCTCCTATTACTTACTTATTTGTAGAATCATAGTCCTGATCACTTTAGAACTGAAAATACTATATTTATCATTTTTAATTTTAACTTCTACCACGTCAATTATTAGAAATTTCTACTTTGTTGCTTTCCCAATACTTCCAGTTCCAAATACTAAAAAATGGAAACATCTCCTTACCCAGTCTTCCACCTGTCATGTTTCCTTACTTCAGGCTCAGGGCTCACCCCTGGGAAACATCTCCACGTCAACCCACTTGTACAGTTCCCTACAGTTTCCTTTCATTCCTTTGCCCTCCGACACCATTCTCTAAGTCAGTTCATGAGCCTCCCAATTATGTCTTTTTTCATTCTCAGCTCTGCTTCAATCTAGTCCACTTTGTCCTCTTTAAAATATCACTTGTTGAGACACATTTTCCTACTTTAGTGTTTTCTGTTCTAGTGAACTCCAACTCCCAAGAACAGAATTCCAGGCTAGTCACAATCAGATGCCACCTTTTCTATTTTGTAATCATTTATATAAAACTTTCTATCTTTGGAACCTAACAAACTACCTTACTCATGCTTTTTTCCCCCATGAAAAATGATCGCCAAATTAAAAATGCCACTTTACTTGAACTTTAAGGCAAATCCTGGCTCTATGAAACCTTCTTTGCGTCACAGCACACTGACCTTGACATCCTCCACATTTCTATTGTAAGTAATTACCTATATATTTACCAAGACAGTGACCTTAATCAATTACTATCTCATACTTCCCCATTTTTATTGTGTGTAAAGAGTCTTACTCTAAAACAATTTTCATTTATATGAATATTATATGTGACTCTTCCTATTGCTTTTGTCCCTTTATCATAATCAAAGGCACAGAGACTATTTTTCACTAACATTTTTATAAAAAGAAATGCTGGTTTTGAAACATTACAATATTCACATTTTAGGTTCCACAGAAATGAGTCCTCTCCTATTTGTTATGGACCACAAATTAAATGCTTCATAAAGTTAAATAGTTTTGTTGTTTTTTTCTGAAACAGAGTCTCACTCTATTGCCCTGGGTCGCGTGTAGGGGCATCATCGTAGCTCACTGCAACCCAATCTCCTGGGCTCAATCAATCCTACCTCAGCCTGCAAGTAGCTGTGACCATAGGTGCATGCCACCATGCCTGGCTCATTTTTTCTATTTTTGGTAGAGACAAGGTCTTGCTCTTACTCAGGCTGGTCTTGAACTCCTGAACTCAAGCCATCCTCTCGCCCAGGCATCCCAGAATGCAGGCCTCCGAGAATTACAGGTGTGAGCCACCACCCCCAGACAGCTGGACAGCATGATTACTGTGAACTTTTCAGGTACACCAAGTCTAGAGTAGAGGCTTTTCATCTGAAACACTTAAAACAGGTCATCTAAAATAAAAGAGGTATTACAGAAAGACTGAATTTAATTAAAAAATAAAAAGTGGAACTTTGTAAGCAACATTCCTCCAATGTTTTCTGAGCACTACCTTCTTTTTTCCTAGGAAAGTATTTCAGCCCTAAGGTCTGAATGCCAAGTAACCCAAGTCACAATTTCTAAGGGTCTAAACTGAAATAATTTTTTTTCTGTGTGTAAATAAATTAAGGGTCATGGGTTTAAGAACCTTTCTTTTCCACAAAACCCATTTTAAATCATTACCCAGATACAAATGCAGCTATGTGAATAATTCCTTTGGTTACTTCAAAGCCTATCAGTAGTTGGTTTACTCCAAAGTGAGTATGGAACATTAAAACATATTGTTCACTCTACTCTGGTAGTCATAAGAATCCTCTAATACGTCCTGAGAATTGAAGTTTCATTACCCACCTTTCGAAAACTTGAAATCAGCCAGTTAAATGAAACTTGTCACATACTTTATATCACTTGAGCATTTTATTTCTTTTGCACATATCTAGAAGTAATTGAATTTCAGTGGGAAGTGACTACTTGTTTAAACAAACAATTTTTCTTGCAAGCCTTTCTATCTAAGGAAGTTCTGCTCTGTAAATCTCTTCTATGCTTCTTGAATCTATACATTCTAATGGTTTAATTCAATAACTCAGCGTGTATTTTTAGATGACACTATACTGCATTCAGGATGCAAAATCTGTGACCAGGGTTATTCTTCATTAACACAGTATTGTGATAATGACTCAAGCATTTTATAAAACACAAAATCACAAATGTGTGTTTCTACTAGTGAGTATTTTCTGTTGTTCAGTGATGAGGAGAATAACATTCAAAGCTATGGTAAACTTAAAATTCTTCTCTCATTCCTACTATAGATATCAAGAAGAATAAATATGATTCATCTCCAAAAATCACCCAAGGCCATCGATAAATGACAAAGAGGAAAAGCTGAAGAGTTAGGAGGAACTGTAAGGAAGCAGGTTTTATCATTACTTTAGAAACTAAAAGAAATACAAATCGTTCAGAAAACAAGTTAAAACAAAGTAAAGACCGTTTCACGTGACCGCAAACATATTAATTCATTTATTCTTACATAATTATATAACACTTTCATGACAGATATTAATTTTCCTAATGCTACTCTGTTCCACCTCTACTGCACTTCAGAATTCCTAAGGCATGTCCATGATTTGGCAAATGTTTTTTCTATATCTTTACTGAGTCCCCCTTATTCTAATTCATAAATATGAGCCTATCAATTAAGAGGCCATATTTATAAGCACTGTGATTCTAATATGTACTAACAATATGGAGCTATTACAAAATATAAAGGAGTCCTGGTACATATCAGTTGTTTAATAAACACTGCCTGTTATTATTACACATTAAGAGTTATAACCTTGGCCCTCTTTTCTTAGATTTTACAGACTATTTTAAGAACTAGGAGAGATAAAGTTCCTGATTCTGTGATCATGTCGTATTAAATATGAGGAAACTAAAGCTTACATAAATACAGTAATTTGTCTACAGTCAAAAAGCTTCTTAGTGGCAACTGTGAGTCTCAAAACCAAGCCTGCCAGCTCACACTCTGCACTGACTACTTCATCGTAATTCTCTCTCCAGAAACATAATCTGCTTCAGGGTTTCATTATGGAGAGCAAATGTTTAGTCCTGACCTACGCTCTCTTCTGCAGGCCACGCTGCGTGCCACTCCACGAACTGGATTTTCACATTTCAAATTGTATTCTTCATACTCTCCTACCAGCCACATCTCCTCCAGAATAACGTACTGTAGTTCTTATAAAGGTGTAAATATTTTCTTAGTCACTCAGGTTCAAAGAGTTAAAAAGAATGAGATAAAAGAATAAATAAGGACAGGATATGCCTACTAGGTGCCACTATGTACTCTGCCAGCTTTTTTATCCATATTATCTTACTATTAAGGAAAGCTGTCTCCATTAGAAAAATAAGGAAACCAAATTTCCAAAATGATTTGCTTCACCCTACCTCCTAAGTATAAGATGTGACGCTGGAAAATAGATGGAAATCTGACCTCAAAACCTATTCAGGTACCATGTGCACAACAATAAACAGGTACATGTATCATTGTATTACCTTTGTAATTTTTGAAAAATTGAATATGTCTTATATTTCTCTGCAATTTTTTTTAAAGGTGACGACTCTGTATTTCCATGGCAGTTCCTGCATCTTAATCATTAGTAACAGTCTGGAGATACATCTGACATATGAAAACGTCCAAGATACTCACTTTTTCTTGATTAGTAAGATAATATCTAAACTTCCAAACAAGATCTTGTTCTTCATATGTAAGTTGCTTGGTTGGTGGGTAACTCACAATAATCTACAACAAAGAAGAAAAAGAACTAATTTTATCAACTGTATATTTCCATTTCACTTACAGATTTTCATTTATTTAAATATTTCTATATTAGAATTCTAATATGAAAAAGGAAAATGTATATCCTGCCAATTAAGAGTTAAATTTGTTATACTTATCCATCTAAAGAGTGTATTACTAGAATGTGAGGAGAAAAGAAATAAGAAAGTCATAACAGAACTCATTTAATTAAGTCAAAACAAAACAAATCAAAATACAACACTCTCACATACCAAAAAAAAAAAAAAGGAAAAACAAACAGTAACTCTTCCTCTTGTCAAGCCAATGTACACTACAATGCATGTGCATAAAAGTCCTTTCACAGGCAATGTCTTTTCTAAGCTTTTTTTTGAGACATCTCACTTAGTCACCCTTGGTAGAGTGCTGTAGTATCATAGCTCACAGCAACCCCAAAGCTCAAGTGATTCCCTTGCCTCAGCCTCCTAAGTAGCTGGGATTACAGGTAACACCCAGCTATTTTCAGAGGTGGGGTCTTGCTGTTGCTCAGGCTAGTTGCGAACCCATGAGCTCAGGTAATCTACCTGCGTTGGCCTCCTAGAGTGCTAGGATTACAGGAATGAGCCACTGCACCTGGCCCCAACAGGTAATGTCTTATTCTGAGAATGCTATATAAGGAAAGTGCATAAGTAGAGCCTCTTGTAAGCTGACCACCCCAGGGACTGTAACTAACTGATCAACACCCAGAAGCGGTCAACATAAGGAACTAGGCCTACTGTCTAATAATGTACTTTTGGTACATGTCTAGTCTATGAAAATTAGGCCAACTTAAGAAGGTGGTCAATGTAGGGAGGTGGTCACTATGAAGGTTCTACCATATATAGTATTTATATCTGTCTTCAGAGCTAATAAATTGACTAAAAGCCCCTAAATCAGTAGTTCTCAACCTTCATAATGGCACATGTATTTTCATTGTTAAAAAGGGGTCGTGATCTATAGGTTGAGAACTGTTGCCCTAAATGACAACAGAACTACAGAGATGTGAAACTGTTGACATTATGCAGGGTTTACCATCCTGTAAAAAAATGTACATCAGATTTTGAAGTGAAATGATGTATCAGCTATACCCAAAATAAGCATTTATTTATTTTTATATTAATATTTCATAAATTATCTTACATTTAATTGATCTCTGGTGGCAGCATTGGGTTTGAGATCATGGTCAGAAGGTCCACTTCTTAAACTCCGGGCAAGCTTGTGGTGTTTGCTCTCTACTAAATTCTCCTATAGATTATTTAAAAATATTGAGAATACAAACTTCACCAAAAAGAAATTGGATAGCCAGTCAGAAATATAAAAGTAAATAGGTATTTACTTAAGACCATTTTATAATACTTAAATGTTTCATTCTGATACAGCCTTAAACTCCTACGTAAACTTTGAAAATATGTACCCATTTCAAGATTGGGAAACTAAGCATGAATCCAATTCCCCTAGTGTTATAATACTCATGTGTAGGCATCCCATTCTAGCTTCTTAAAATAGCTACCTTTCACTCTCCACAAACTCCTATGTAAACTTTGAAAATATGTACCCATTTCAAGATTGGGAAACTAAGTATGAATCTAGCTCCCCTAGTGTCATAATACTAATGGCTTTTAAGAAGTCATTCTAGCTTCTTAAAATAGCTACCTTTCACGCTCCCTCCACATAGTCAAGGTTTTCAAATCCTCTATCCCCTCAAATCCCACCTTCATACTAAAACTTTCCCTTACAACCTAGACTAAAACATTCCCTCCTCTTATCAGCTACTAGTGACCTTGTGACATCACTGTGCTATCATCTTAGCAGTTATTTAAAGTGTTGGTTACTGAGGTAGGGACCAATGGTCATAATGTTTGAATATACACATCTGGTACTGCTTATTTTACTCATGGAAAAAATAATTGCTTTTAACCATATTGTCACATATGTGTAAATTGTCTGTTCATGTCTTTTTCCTAATTTTTGGCTGGCTTTATGGTCATTTGTCCTTTAATTTTTAGAATTCTTTACCATATCGGCGTTTGGTCTGTGATGTAGCAAGTTATTTTCTCCCAGATTGGTAACTGTCTTCTGACTTAGTTGACGGTGGCTTTTGTTAGGCAATTTTCTTAATGTGGTCAAATGTATCAATCATTTCTTTCCTTACCTCTGAATTTTGTATCATAGTTAGAAAGTTTTTCTCTACACTGAAAATACTAATGTGGTTTCACTTTTTACCATTTAGATTCCTAATTCATTTGAAGTTTTTTGGCTTTGTATGATATGAGGTATGAATCTAATTTAATTTTTTTCCAAATTGGCTAACTATATTCCCCTGTACCAGAAATACCACCATTATCATATACTAAATTTCCATCGCTACTTGGAAGCATTTTCTGTTCAACCAGTCCATTTGTGTACATACATGGGTCAGTACCACACTACTGGGATTACAGAACTACACTGTTCTACTGTCTGATACAGTGGAGTATCAGCTCGGCACTGCTCAAAGTTTCCTTGCAAAATGTATTCCTCCACTTGGTAAATAACCACAGCTACAGGATGACCTGAGTTTTCAAGCATGGGGGGCGGGGGGCAAAAAGAGTGGTTCGCGCTTTTCCTAATCTTTTGTTTTGTACTCACTTTGAATTAAAAGTAAACATTTTTAACGGGGGATGGGTTATTTTTTGATTTTTTTAGTTACAGCATCTATAATGTAACAAATAATTAAAACAGGTATCATTGTTGATGGACATTTTCTTTAGAAAAAATACACTAAAATGTACAGACAACTCATTTACCTGACATTTTGATATGAGTTGATGTAAGTGAAACCTATGATTCTCAACAAAACTTGTTTACACTTAGCCTTTGTGAAGGTAAACTATAAAATGCATGCTTCTGTGTTTTAAATATTCAGAAAGAAAATATGATTTTATACTAAAATTCAGTGCCAATTTTAGATATCTGAACTGGATGCTACTCCATCCTGCATAGGGACAATGAAGGTATAAAGTGTGTTCCTATAATATCCTCACGTGACCTTTTCTCTAACTTTTCATACTCTACTTTTTCTCCCATTATCTCTTGTTTTGATTGAGGGCTTCAGCCATTAATTAGTTTCTGCTTTAATGATGTCTATTTACCTTGTCTAGTACGTCTCTTTTACCATATTTTTCTG